GGTAAGCATGAGAAACCACTCTTTTTTTTAGCAAAACCACTTTTTTTTGGTAAAATGAGAACAAGGACATTGGGCCTTTAAAGGGGCCCACGGACTCGGCCCACGCAGCAACAGCCCGGCCGCTCACGCGAGGCTGGTCTCCGGGGGCCTGCGAAAATATATAACGCAGGAGAGCGAGAGAGAAGATTGGATTCGATTTGGATTTCTAGGGTTTGCTCATCCTCATCCCCATCCCCTCCTCGTCGCCGTCCCTCGTCTTCCCCACCTCCGGTCGATCGAAATTTGCGATTTTTTGATTGGTTTCCGGACGGAAGACATGATCCCCAACTCCGTCGACACCTTCCTCTGATCTCATCCGTCTCCCCCCGGAAAAACCAACCCAGATTCGACATACTATGGTTCGCCGCCGCCCGTCTTCCTCCTCCTCCTCCTCGTCGCCGATGCTCCACAAGAACCTCCGCGCGCTCGGCCCCGGCCTCAATCCGTTTGCCCCCGTCGGCATGGGCAACTACTCCCGCTAATCTCCCCCCTCCCCTCCCCTCTCCTCCGCTCAATTTCTCCCCGGATCCGATTTGCTTCTTCCCCCCTTCTCGTTCTTGATTTGATTGGATTGCTCCTCTCTCTGCTTGATTGCTTGGTTGGTTTGGATCTGCTTGCAAGATTAGCCAAGGGGCCACCATGGTGCAGCTCCGCAGCTCGCTCAGCATGACCCGGGCGCGCGCCCGCGCCGGCGACTCGGACGACGCCGACGACCGCGGCTGGAACCAGCTCCACGTCGCCGCCCGCAAGGGCAACCTCAAGGAGGTATGAGCTGCTCCCTCTATCTCCTTATTTTTCCGCCTCCTTATTTTGAGCTGCTGCCACAAAACTAGTCAACTAGGAACGTTTAGGCAAGTTTATGTTTGGTCACACAAGCGCACAAATGGATTTGTCGCCCTTTTAGGGCAGACTGCAACTTGAGTAGCACCACAAACGTGCTACGGATGTGACCGATTAGGAGGGACACGAGACCAAAACTTCGGTACTATGTTGTCGCCTTGTGCAGCCAATTAGAGCAAGTTTGTTTGGCAAGTGCTCTGCCCAATTTAGCTGATTGAGCCAAATGAAGGAACACTCTTTTTGTGTCGAATCACAATAAACCGAATCTGGATGAATGAATGAATTATCGATTGTTTAATCTAGACTCAGTTTAGGCAAGGATATGTTCTGTCATGCGAGCGTGCGAACTTTGGTACCACAAATGTGTTGCACATGTGACCGATCAGGAGGGACAAGAGACCCAACAGTGTGGTACCATGGTGTGTCACCTTGGGTGGATAATTGAAGAAGATTGTTTGGCATCTGCCCTGCCCACTTCAGTTATAAGTGCCTACTTTGGCATCCTGTAGATATTAGATAACTGAAGCAAATATTGTTTTGCATCTACCATACCAGTTTTAGTTGGGAAATCCAAATAAGGTTAGCTCTTAGGTTCCTGCTCCCACAAAACTAGTCCATTAGGAATGTTTAGGCAAGGGTATGTTCTGTCAATCAAGCGCACGAATGGATTTGTCGCCCTTTTAGGACAGACTGCAACTTGGGTGCATCCAAATGTGTTGCACATGTGACCGATTAGGAGGGACAAGACACCCAAAAGTGTGGTACCATGTTGTGTCACCTTGAGTGGATAATTGAAGCAAGATTGTTTGGCATGTGCCCTGACCAGTTCAGTTATAAGTACCTACTTTGGATCCTTTGAAACAGATTGCAACTTGAGTATGCATATGTTTTACACATCTGACCAATTAGGAGAAACGACCAAAACTCTGTTATCATGCTGTCACCTTGTGTGGACAGGATTGTTTGCCATTTGCCCTGCCCAATTTAGCTGATTAAGACAAATAAAGAAACACTCTTTGATGTCCTTTAGGGCATGTCGATGTCCAAACTTTGCATCCAGTTCTGCCAAAATGTCCTGGAATTTGGAGCATGTATGTCAGGCTAGTAACTAGTTAGATATGCTGGTTGTTTCAAATCTTGTATATGTGACCAATTAGAATAAACAACCAAACTCTTGTACTAAGTTGTTGCCTTGTGTAGCCAATTTAAGCAAGGTTTGTTTGGCAAGTGCTCTGCCCATTTAGCTGATTAAGCCAAATAAAGAAACAACCAAACTGTTGTAGTACTATGTTGTTGCCTTGTAGCCAATTTAAGCAAAGTTTGTTTGGCAAGTGCTCTGCCCAATTAGCTGATTAAGCCAAATAAAGTAACACACTCTGATGTTCTTCAGGGCTTGTATATGTTTAAAAATTGCATCCAGCTTTGGACAAATGTCCTGGGATTTGCAACATATATCTGAGGCTAGTAACTAGTTAGATGTGCTGATTACCCTGATTCTCATTTGCAGGTCTCCGATGTTCTTTTCTATGTGTTCATCTAGGACTGGTTATAAGTACCAATAATTCTAAGTTATATTCTGTGTCACATCAATTCTTTTCAGAGGCCTGTTATTCATGGGATCACCTTAACCCAAATCTGCAAGAATGGATGCATGTTTTAGGCTAGATTCTGTTGTATAGCAAAAATGTAGTTTTGTGTATTCTTAACCCATTGGCTTGGTGACTAATTAATCCCATACAACTTCTTAACTAGAGATTATTATCTTATTTAGTTACTAATCATCCTTGTGAAAAATCTAAAACCGTCATTTTTTCTGATTCTCCTTAGGTGAGACGTCTCCTGAATGAAGGGATGGATGTCAATGCACCCGCATGGGGACCAAAGTCTCCTGGCGCTACTCCGCTGCACCTTGCTGCTCAGGGCGGGCATGTGAAAATCATGGATGAACTACTGGAGCGCGGTGCAAATATTGATGCCCGAACAAAAGGAGCTTGTGGCTGTAAGTTTACTTGTTTTTTTAGTCATTGCCTGTATTGCCAGTGTCATTATTTTTATTGTTGATTGTTCTTCCATCGGTTCTACCTTTCTAAATGTTATTGTTTTTAATTATTTCTGTTATTCTATATGTATTGTCTTGGGATGCCATTCTTAATTGTCTATACATATATGGCCAAGCTGTGGAAGTTAGTACATCCAGCATAATTTGTTTCCATTCTTTTTCTATGTTACATGACTAGGTATGTAGATGATGTTAACTTAGTGGACCTGCAGATCTAATCTTGCTCTGTTTTACAGTAGTTGAATGGTGTGTGTTGCTTCATATAGTATTATGTGGACTGAACGCTGTGCAGTACAGTTTTCTGCTATGTAGCTTATATCTAGGTTATATATATATATATATATATATATATATATATATATATATATATATATTGTTTTGGGTTGCTGGTGTTAATAGCGATGCATCTGCTTAATTGACATCCAAACATAGCTTATTTCCATTACACGAGATCTCCATGTTTTATTACTAGGTATGTAGGTGTGGTTTACTTGTAGCTGATGTGTATAGTGTAATCTTGCTCTGTTTTAAAAGTATGTGAACGGTGTGTGTGGCTTCATGTATTAGTATTTGGGTTGAACCTCCTGCAGTGCTGTTTTCCTGCTACCTAGCTTATCTAGGTTACTAAAATGCGTTTATTACTACTATCTACTCAATTGAACCTACTTGACCTGTGGAGTCTAAACTTATTTTGTCTTAATCTAGGGACTCCCCTGCACATTGCTGCCAAGGAAAGAAACAAGAGGGTGGTCAGGTTCCTTGTCGAGAACGGCGCGTTCCTGCCCCCTGACCTGAACGACCACAGGTTCAATCCACCCCTCCACTACTGCTCTGGCCTGGAGTGGGCGTACGAGATGAAGCGCATGCAGGACGAGAGTGACTCGGGCGGCGAAGCTTCCTTCAGCTCGTCCAACTAGTGAAAAGTGATCTATCTGCAGGGGATGCTGCTGATCTTTGGGTTATGAGTGCTTGTTTTTAATTATGAAATCCACCCTTCCTAGCTTATGTGCCGAGCCTGCGAGGAGCTACATCCAAGTGAAAGCAGGCTGATGCTGGTATTGTATGTGTATACAAGAATAAACACGGTGCCGTCACGAGGTCCTGGAGTTGCTGCTGTGCTGCCCTGTAGTTTACCTGGTATATTCTGGTACATCGGTGACCAGGCTGCAGTGATCTCAGATTGGAATATCCGTCTCTATGAAGGAACATCCTTCGTAAACATACGTTGTCGAACCTTTGCTTTGTTTGCCGGACAAGTATTGTACATCTGATTGGTTTGTTTGGAACACATGTTTTTTTTGTCTGAAGCTATTGTTGTGTTTATTTGGAAACTTGATTTTGTCTTTTCGACCCAAGTTTCTCTAAACTGGCCTACTGTGGTGATTCTCTGATTTCATATCTTGATATGCACATGCTCAACCCATTGTATGCAGCCAAGAAGATTCATTGTTGTTGCAGAAAACTGTCTGAGTTCAAGATAGATATCTAAGCTGGGGTAAAGTTAAGCAACGATCAATTAAATATGTATCGTTGTGGACATATGCATACTATACTGACAAGAAAGTGATCGTTTGTGGTCATCTCTAGTATGTATCGTTGTGCACATACATACTATAAACTCCATAAATTATGTATAACTTTCTCTTGACCACTTAATGTCAAATTTGAGGAAGTTTGTCAACGGAGCCGAGAACTTGAAGGGGCACCTCCAACCAATACAGGTAATACAAAATCATTATTTCCTATGACATTTTTGTTAATTGATCACTTACATATAAGTTTTATTTTCTTGCAAACTTGGTTTTACAAGAAATTCCATATTGATCATACCATTTCCTATTTTCGACATGACAAACCGCTTATCCTAGATTGTAACTAAGCAAAAGTGGGCAAGGTCAGACAAAATAATCTCAGAGAACTACGTATGAGATTGAGAGTTATATGCTTAGTTTACTTGTTGTTATCTGCTTGGCTTTTACAAAAATGATTCATAAATAAATATTTTTGCAAATATTTGAGGACCTCATGTGATCTTGAAAGGCATTGCCCAAGGTTTCTCATCAGCCTTCAAAGTCAACTGTAGAATGATACTAGTCAGTAATGTTTTTTAAGGTTGAAACTAATTCTTTCTAAATACCTTTTTTTAAACTGGTTCTAATTTTAACTTGTAGCTTGATGGAACACCAGGCTGCCTAGTGGCCCAGATGATAGAGTTGAAAGTGATTATATCTTCACAACATTCGGAGATGTCTTCACAACTAGGATGGAATAGTATGTTGTCAGAAAGAACCCATCTAATTTCTCAATTCAACGTACGCATTTGTTTTTATTATAATTCATTCTTCCAAATAAGTGCATGACTAATATCTTTTTAAAAGGACCATAGATTTTGCTTATGACACAACAACTTTGATGCGGCAAAGAGTTGACAAAGAAATCAAGATAGTTATGTCACAAAATTTGTAAGTTCTCTTCATGTCACAAAACGTATGGTAACCATTTATCTTTTGAATGTACAAATTAGAAAACCTCAAAAAAATGTAGCCGCTTCCCTAGCTAGAATGGTATGAAGTCCCATATTGATATTGCTATGTTTTTTTTCCCAACCATACAACTAACTTCATAAAATAAATATTTGTGGACCACCAAAGGGAAAAATTGACAGAGGATGTTGTGTAATCAATTGGGAACCGTGGTAAGTTCTTGTTGTCATCACACGTGAAACGCTTCCCAATTTATTCCACAACGTCGTGTCTGTCCGTTTTTCCTTTCTGGGTTCCATAGATGTTTCATTTACCTTCTGTGAAGGACACAAGTTAGCTGTATGGTTGAAAAATGAACGTGCTAGCAATATGGAACTTCATACCTCAAATTTAGTTGCAAAGTTTAGACACACTTTGAAACTTCATTTGTAGAAGTGGCTACAATTTTTGAGGTTTTCTAGTTTGCACGTTCAAAAGATAAATGGTCAGCATACATTTTGTGACAAGAACAGCAAAGTTATAAATTTTATGACATGATTATGTTGTCAACTCTCTTTCCTGCATCAAAGTCATTGTGTCGTACGCCAAATCGATGATCTTTTTAATAAAATGATGTTATTCATGCCCTTATTTTGAAGGATGAATTACAAAAAAGAAAACAAATGTGTACGTTGAATTGAGAAATTAGGTCTTTCAAGCGCATGATGGTTTCCTTATAGCGTCGTACAATTCCGTCCAGTTGTGTCGTCAACGAATGTTGCCGAGACATAATTGCTTTCTACAAATGAGGATGAGTTATAACTGTTATTTTTTAAAAATATTTAGAAAGAATTAGTTTCAGCTTAAAAAACATTACTGACTAGCATCATTCTACAAGTTATATAACACATACCTCCATAGTTGACTTTGAAGGTTGATGAGAAACCTTGGGCAATGCCTTCAAAGGTCACATGAGGTCCTCATCCTTCTGCAAAAATATTTATTATGAATCATTTTTGTAAAAATGGAGCAGAATACAACAAGTAACACTAAGCATATACCTCTCTGACTCCTATGTAGTTATCTGAGATTATTTTGTTGACTTTGCCTGCTTTTGCTTCGTTTCAGTATTGGACAAGCGGTTTGTCACGTTGAAGACAGGGAATACGATCAATGTGGTCGACTCGGAATTTCTCGTAGAACCAAGTCTGCAAGAGAATGAAACTTATATGTAAGTGATCAATTAACAAAAATGTCATATGAAATAATGAGTTCGTATTACCTGTAGTAGTGGGGGGTTCACCTCCAAGTTCGCGTCTCCGTTGACAAACTTACTCACACTTGACGTTAAGTGCTCGAGAGAAAGTTTTGCATAATTTGTGGAGTTTATAGTATGTATGTCCACAACGATACATACTATGTGAATGACCACAAAGGATCACTTTCTTGACATTAAGGGAGGGAAGCTCATGCGTGGTTGGTGGGGCAACCACAAAGGAGGGGAAGGGAGATGCTACCCCGTCTAGTTTTTCTCGTGTGTTCGAACCAGTCTTTGTGCATTGCATTTCACCACTTCACAGGGGTAAGACTTGGTTCCTATAATCTCTCCCTAGACCCTACCTTGTGTGGGAGCTTATATGCACTCGGTCTGTCTGTCCTTTTGAGGATTTGGTGATGGGCACAGAGAAACAAAACCTATGGATGAGCTGCCTTGGCTAAAGCCTTAGCGTAAGCTGAAAGCCACTCTTCCTAATGGATGAGTCCTCCTTTTGTGAAACATGTTCTTGCTGGCCTTTGCTTGTACTAACTAATGCATCTATTCTTTGCCCCCATCAAAGTTTATTGGGTATTACATCCTCTATAACAAAATGTATGACGTTTTTTATGCCCTATGCAAAACCAAAAAAAACGTACGTATAAGTTGTTCAGGTTGATCAAGCGTAAAATAGATTGATGTAGGGATTAACTAATGGCCGTATATAGATGAAAGGAAGGAGTGTGATGAAAGCTTATTAGCATGTGGAAGTCTGAACAAGAATTCTGTCCTTCGTTCCCCCGTTGTAAAACATGTTCTTCCTGGCCTCTACTTGTCCTCCCCTGACAAGCTAATGCTGCAAGCCGCGCCGTGAGCGTGTCAACGACATTCTGACATTCTGACTACATCTGATGATGGCTACATGAATGCCATGTGTGATAGGATCAAGATCTCTTTATCTATGGCATGACAAGCTAGATAGATTGTTGTCTGTACTAACATCTACACCCTCTGTCCCTAAATATAAGATGTTTGGCCAGTTCAATTTACATTTATAAACAGAGGTAATACATATTTACACTGAATTGTTTTGCTCTCTTTTGTTACATCTTTTCGGTTGTATGAACACTTAATAATTAGTATATGGACTAGCGGATTCTCTTTGCACCGTTGTTCTATGCAGGGAGGGAGATATAAACGTGATTGGTTTATTCATACTTGAGCTAGCACTTTCAAATAGTATGATGAAATAAAAATTTCAAATACTTGGAACAAGCAAATTACAGCCACTTCTGTCGTAACCGCAGCCCAAACAAACGAGGCTCAAGTATGCTAGAAGCTAACTTAGCTTTAGCGAAAGGTAAAGAAGCATTCTCTTCCCGGTTATCCTTTTGTGTGATATGTTCTTCTGTCTGGCCTTTTGCTTTGTCGTCCTAGCCACTGACAAATGCATCTGTTCTTTGCCCATCACATAGTTCTGAGAATATATAAAGACCTGCTGTGTTCTTGGTCGTGGCAGCGACGCGCACGAAAGCATCGATCTTTGACGTGCGCATGTATGTCCCAGGTTGCAGCAGCAGGGATTCTTTTATGCACCGTACGGTACGGGCGGATGATGTATGCACACCCTCAAACCAGAGAAAACGCCCATGGTTTATTCCCAGGTGATTCTAATGATCTTTTTGGTTATGTGGGTGTGTTTGTTCTCAATCATGATATAGTTCTAACGTAGTAAACTGTATGATGATGAACCTTCCAATTAGGCTGGACATACAATGTGCCTTTGTTTTCCATGAGGTATGTGGGTTTGCATGTTGGCATCATTGGATGACGCTCTTCTCAACCGAAACCTTAGAGGGCCCACGTTCGGTCTTTGTTGTGGCGTCGTGCAGTACCTCAGCCTTCTCATAAGAAACTGAGACGAGCCTATTAAATATGGACTAAAAGAGGGGCAATATGTACAACAAGTCACATATTTTTTAAGGTAACATGGCAAGCTCTACAAGCCCCAAGACCGCTTGTTTTGAAATAGGGCATTTTCAAAGCACGGTTTTATAACTAACATAGCTTGCAAAAACGTTTTACATTGTGAGACAGAGGGAGTAGTTCTCAAAATAGAAGTCCATCATAAGATGGATGCTCTTCCTAGCCCCTTTGCTTGTCGATCGTCCAATTCTGAGAATAATTAAAGACCCGGGCACATGGAGAAGTGCCTAGGAATCCAGCTCCAGCAGATGTGCCCCAAGGCTTTGTGCACACTGCACACAGGCAGCATCGATCCGTGCCTTGCCTCTTGCTCTGACTGAAATTCTGTCCCACATTGTGGCACACGCATGCCAAAACTAGCAGTATAAATACCACAAACATATCAGCACAATGCAAACACATGTGCCAGCCACCGGCATCTTCCTGAGGAGGGGGGCGGGGCTATGGTGCTGCTGTCGCCGGTGAGCCGGGCTGCCACGGCAATGTACAACTCCAGCGCCCGCCGCGACATCATCATCAACAATGTCACGGTGTGTGCCACCCCGGCGGCCACGCTGGTGGCCAGCTTCACGGTGTCCGCCGACATGCGCACCACGGAGCGGCTCATGGTCACCACCACGGTCCTCATGACCTTGCTCGGCACCGCCCTCTTCCTCCTTGGAGTTTCCGGACGCCTCTCGGGCCGGGGCCGCGGCCACTCTACCGCCACCCGCATCTTCTTCCGCGCCTCCTTCGCTCTATTCCTCCCCTTCATGTCCTACATGTTCTCCCAGGTAAGGTTTAAAAATTTTTTGAATGAAAAAGAATTACCAAACCTTAGTGAAATATCCATTTTTTGAGAATTCTTTTGGGTTTTGATCTATCGACGTTCACTCAATTTTAATGGATTTTGACCGAATTTGTATTTGGTTTTAAACTTGTTTGAATCTAGGACGGAATTTTGAGGTTGCATATATTTTGATACCAGTATGAATTATTGAATTGTTGGAAATTTTGTTGAAATTTTAAACCTTGTTCATAGGCCAAGAGCAAGCCACCCGACACCGGCAACCAGCCCCGCGCGCAGCTCATTCTCCTCTGGATGATCCTCGTCGAGCTCCTCCGCAAGAAGGTCTACGCCATGGTTGCCCCAACCACCGATGCCTTCGCACGCGGCGTCGGCCGCTATAGCTTCTTTGATGCCGTCGAGGAGGCTGCACGCATGGCGTGGATTGGGTACCTCATCTACACCTATGTGCATGGCTTTGGCGTCAAGTCCTTCTTCATCATCCTCTGGATCTTCAGCGTCGTCAAGATGTGCAAGCGCTCCATGTGCATCTACCTTGCTAAGCGCTCCTTCGACCTCGCGAAGAACGCTGCCCTCGTCTCCGGCTACATGGTGCAGCTCGTCAACGAGCGTCGGCAATTGCTCCGCGATGACGAACACGCAGTTGGCGCTGGTATCATGAGGGCTTGCAACTATGCGGTCATGGGAGAGAGACGGCTCAAGAGGGAGGTGACGCCCCATGGCTTGAAGATCCAACAAGAAGAAATCAACAAAATTCTCCTTGGAGATGGAAGTCCAAATGGGAAGGAAGAGGCCAAAAAGTCGGAGCTGGTCCGGGTATGTAACATATGGGACCTCGCCAATAGTGACCCCATCTTCAGGTACAATTTGAGCAGGAAGCACAAGTTGGAGAACATTTGCCTTGCCGTCGCACTCTTCAAGCTACTCCGACGGAAGATGGAGCACTTCCACATGGCAGAGGCGGGCACCCCACAAGCACGTGATCTCGTCCTCCGGGGACTCCTCGCCCTCGAGGGGCACGAGGACGAGGTTGCCAATGCTGAGAGGGCTTTCGAGGTGGTGGAACTGGAGCTGAGGTTTCTGGACGAGTACTACCAGGCCATCATCCCGTTGGCATTGTCCAAGCCGGGGCTATTCATAGCCAACTTCATCATCTCCATCGTCTTCATCTTTTTGTACTGCATCACCGTGCTCCTTGTCACAGGCAATGGCCACATCTTCAAGGTGCTAGGCTCCCTCTTTCGGGGGCTCATCGGCCTGTCCATCGACATGGTGGTGCAGTACAAGTGCTTCGTCCACCAAGTGAACTTCCTCTTCGGCATGGTTTGTTCCTCCTCCGACCTCATCGTCACCTTCCTCCTCACGCTCACCCTCCTCGCCGTCGAGACATATGAATTCTTGCAGTACGTGCTCTCCGATTGGTTCATTGTGCCCGTAATGTACACCTATGCCCGAAAGACAGTGCTCCAGCAGAAGGGGCATGCCGGGAGGGTCGCCAAGGGCACCCTATGGGCGAAGCACCGCTCCCACGCCGTCATCAAGGTCCACCAGATCACCATGCTCAAGCTCCACTACCTCGACCCGCGTTGGGTGTGGATGCTCGTTTCCCGCCTGCTCAAGAGGCGCCTCGTCGGCCTCCCCGATGCCATCGTCACCGGTGACACAAAGGTGGCCATCGTCAAGGCGTTGAAGGACGTCCTCACCCCAAGCTGCGGCAGACACTTCAGCAACGGCATGGCTACGTTGGAAAGGCAACGCTTCCTTAACCTCAAGTGGGCGTGCGACCCCAAGATGAGCACCGCAACAATCATAGTGGTGTGGCACATCGCGACAGCCCTATTTGAGACGAGGGACAAACAGAAGCACCCTCTACCACCACACGGCCAGGCTGCCCTGACGTTGTCAAGGTACTGCGCATACTTGGTGGCCTACGAGCCGGGGCTCCTCCCGGACAACGAGGCATGGACGAAGAAGGTGTACAAGGACATCAAGGGGGAGCTCAGCAGTTTCTTCCAGAGCTGTTGCAATACTGGTGACCGCCGTGAGCGTCTAGTGAAGTTCGGTCAAGGAGAAGAGGACGAGGAGAAGTCGGCCATGGTGAAGGGTGTCAAGCTAGGGAAGCAGCTGGAGGCCACTAGCAGTAGTGGCGGTGACTTGCTTGAAGACGAGAGAGTGTGGGGGATGCTACTCGAGTTCTGGGCGGAACTTCTCGTGTTCGTGGCACGCAGGCCATCGGCGGGCCCGGAGACGCACGCGCTGGCGCTGAGCAACGGCGGCGAGTTCATCACCCACATCTGGGCCATGCTCACCCACGCCGGCGTGCATGTCCCCAAGAACCACCAAGATGATCAGGTTCCATCGTGCAACTGCAATCCAGTTTGATCACAGGCTCACGATCAAGGCCCATCACAACCAGTCTCATCAAATTTATTGCTTATTTGTTTTTGTTTTGAAAAAGAGTCGCATAATAATACTTGTTGTTGTTATTTATTTTATTTTTTTGAGTTATTTTCTCTGGTTTATACAAGTATTAGCTGGTTGGCGTAATAATACTGTAATGAGCCAGCTGGCATAATAACCATGTAATGTTGTAGCACAAGACGAGTTGCGATGGCATAGCTACACTCATGCCAGTTGTGCTTGCAGATGATGATTATATCATAAATTCAAAAATATTTGATCTTGATGCAGACATAGTGATTTTAATTTGATGAAATCACAGAGCTACTCTATGTGTAGTCACAATGCATCTTGAAATATATCCTAAAACTGAGATCTGGGCAAGGTATCAACCGTACAACACTAGGCTGAGGTACAACCCAGCCCTGGTACTACCTCACTAGGCTGGGTTACCATCTACTCACCCAGCAAGCAAAGATATTCATTTAGGCCCTGTTCGGAATCTCTCCACTCCGCTCCAATATTTCTGACTCCGTGAAGCCGGAGTCGAGGGAGCGGAGCGGAACCGAACAAGCTCTTAATCTTGATGTAGCAGGTCATATGTAAAGGACGGACTATTTTCAAATCAATTAGACTTAGGGTTTGGTTTGGGTCGGCTCAACCTCTAGGGGTGGCCTGGTACATATATTTATATGAGGGATATGTACAGATAGAAGGTATGTAATACAAGGTATGTATGGAAGCTACAAACTAGCCTAAATACAAAGTCTAACACCCTCCCTCAATCTCAACCGGTGTCTCGTAGGTTGAGATTGCGCCGGCAAACCTCAAACAAAGGTAATGGCAACGACTTCGTGAAGATGTCCGCAAGTTAATCTTTAGAAGAGATAAACTTGATCTGAAGTAGTTTCTGTGCAACACGTTTCCTAACAAAATGATAATAAACTTCGATGTGCTTTGTTCGTGCATGAAATACTGGATTAGAAGAAAGGTATGTAGCACCAATATTGTCACACCAAAGAATCGGTGGCTATGGTTGAGGGACCCTCAACTCACGAAGCAATGACTGTACCCATATAAGCTCTGCTGTCGCATTGGCTACAGCTTTGTACTCAGCCTCAGTACTACTGCGAGAAACCGTAGCCTGTTTGCGGGCACTCCAAGCGATCAAGTTGGGACCAAGAAACACAACATATCGCCTCGTAGAACGCCGATCATCAGGATTACCTGCCCAGTCAGCATCCCAAAAAGCAGAGATAATACCAGATGGAGCTGGCTGAAGGTGCAAGCCATATGAGGCCGTAAGACGAACATAGCGAAGAATGCGTTTGACAGCAGACCAGTGGGAATCACGAGGTGAATGAAGGTACTGACAAACACGATTAACCGCAAAGGAAATGTCTGGTCTGGTAATAGTCAGGTACTGTAGACCACCAACAAGACTACGATATGTAGTAGAATCATCGGGAGAAAGAAGTGCACCAGTATCAGCTGAAATCCTCTCAGTAGCAGACACGGGTGTAGACACAGGTTTACACTTGAGCATACCAGCACGACGCAGAAGATCCAATGAATACTTTTTCTGAGTAAGAGACAGTCCAGTAGAAGCATGAGTGACTTCCAAACCGAGAAAATAATGAAGCTTGCCGAGGTCCTTGACAGCAAAATCGGAACTAAGAGCTGAGAGTAGGCGATCAGCAGCAGCAACTGAAGAACTGACAAGGATGATGTCATCAACATAAACCAGAAGGTATATAGTAACCTCAGGGCGCTGTAGTAAGAACAGCGAGGTATCAGCTGTAGAAGGAACAAAACCAAGAGCTTGAAGAGCAGAGGCAAGACGAGCATGCCAGGCACGGGGAGCCTGCTTGAGGCCATACAATGCCTTGTCCAACCGACATAAGTGATGAAGATGATCAGGATCAACAAACCCAGGTGGCTGGCGCATGTAGACTTCCTCCTCCAATACACCATGCAGAAAAGCATTCTGAACATCCAACTGACGAAGAAACCAGCCACGAGTAACTGCCAAGGATAATAAAAGTCGAATGGTAGTAGGCTTGACAACCGGACTGAAAGTATCCTCGTAGTCAAGTCCATGCCGTTATTTAAATCCTTTAGCAACCAAACGTGCCTTGTACCGTTCAATGGAACCATCAGAATGTTTCTTGACTTTAAAAACTCATTTGCAATCAATAATATTGACACCGGAAGGAGGATGTACCAGACGCCAAGTTTTGTTGTGAAGAAGAGCATGATACTCCTGTTCCATCGCAGCTCGCCAGTGTGGAATACTCATAGCAGCCTGAAAATGTCGTGGTTCGGATGTTGGATCAGATACAGCATGAGCCATACATACAGCAAGCCAAGCAACCGTCCCATCAGTGCGCTCCTTAGGACAAAAAATGCCACTATGGCTCCGAGTATGCGGTCGAGAAACGACCGGTGGTGGAATAGGTGGCGGTGGCGGCGCATGCACAGGCGTATCTGCTGAAGCTGGTGTGTCCACTAGACCGGGCGACAAAGATCCAGTCGAATCTGCAGCAGGAGAAGTCCCAGTCGTGGGCAGCCCAGACGTTGCATGGCGCGATGAAGAGCCGGGCATGGGCGTCCCGGCCGTGGCGTGGGGCGAGTAGAGCCCACGCGGCGTGGTTGGCTCATGCACGCCAAGACTAGCCAGTTCGCCAGTTGTGGACGAGCCACCAGATGTGGCTGGGTCGGGCGTGTCCATCCCTTTTGCATGGACATGATCACGTGAAGATTGACCATGTGTGGCTCCAGAGGTACTATGTGTGGCCGGGCCATGCATGTGGCCAGACGAACCATCCGAAGATGGCGTTGTAGTATCTGTATCCTTCAGGAGTTCCAGCCGAGCACCACGTCCTATACCTGCACCATGGTTAGGTAACAAAAGAGGCGAGTATGCAATATCTTCAAATTGGCCGGAGGAAATAGGAGTTGAACGAAGTGATTGTGGTATATCAGAAGATGTTGGAAGATTAGAAAACGGAAAAGAGTTCTCGTCAAAAATAACATCACGAGAGATATACACTCGGTTTGTTGGAACATGAAGACACTTGTAACCTTTGTGAATTGAACTATAGCCAAGAAAGACACACTTCTTTGATCGAAACTCAAGTTTACGACTATTATAGGGACGGAGATGTGGCCAACACGCACAACCAAACACCTTGAGAAAAGTGTAGTCAGGAACCTCATTGAAGAGAACTTCAACGGGAGTTTTCATATTTAGCACACGTGTGGGAAGCCGGTTAATAAGAAAACAAGCTGTAAAGAAAGCATCACTCCAAAAATGGAAGGGTACCAACGCATGTGCTAGCAAGGTGAGACCGGTTTCAACGACGTGACGGTGTTTGCGTTCAGCAGCACCGTTTTGTTGATGTGTATGGGGACACGACACACGGTGAGAAATTCCAAGCTTCTGAAAAAAAAGTATTGAGGTTGCGATATTCGCCCCCCAACCCGACTGAACATGTATTATTTTGTGCTTGAGAAGACGTTCAACGTGTGACTGAAATTGAAGAAAGATATCAAACACATCAGACTTGTGCTTAATGAGATAAAGCCAGGTAAAACGACTATAAGCATCAATGAAACTGACATAATAGTTGTGACCACTAACAGAAGTTTGGGCTGGACCCCATACATCAGAAAACACAATTTCTAAAGGATTGTTGACAACTCGACTAGAGGAAGAAAAAGGAAGTTGATGACTTTTGCCTTGTTGACAAGCATCACAAACTGCTATCTCTTTATTACTAGACACCATGGGGAGTTCATGTCGATGAAGCACATGACGCACGATCAGAGAAGCCGGGTGACCAAGGCGGGAATGCCACTGAGACGACGAGACACGGACACCACTGAAGACATAAGACATGCGAGGCACATCCAGAGAGTATAACCCTCCGCGATAGCGACCTCTAAGTAGGACGTCCTGTGTTGCTCGATCCTTGACAAAAAAAATAGAACGGGTGAAATTCAACGGCAACATTATTGTCATAAGTGAGTCTAGGAACAGATAAAAGATTACGAGTGACAGACGGAACACGAAGAACTTTGGAAAGCTGAAGTTTGCGACATGTAGATGTGGGAAGGGATGCTCGACCAATATGAGAGATATGCATACCTGCCCCATTTGCTGTATGAATTTTGTCATGGCCTTGGTAGGGCTCGTGTGAAGTGAGCTTTCCAAGCTCGCTTGTCAAGTGATCCGTCGCGCCAGTATCCATGTACCAGCTAGAATCAACAGGGTAGGATGGAGTGTACCCTTGCGGAGCCTGTCCGTGCGTCGCCATGGCAGCCTGACGTTCATTGTTGCGTCCATCGTTGCCTATACCCAGAAAATCACGCTTAAAGCGTTTATGGCAACGGGAGGCTAGGTGGCCCGGGATACCACACAACTGACATGGGGGGCGATTTCCCTGGGCGCCACACACCGGGCAACCAGAGCGAGGGTTCCTCTGGCCCCCTTGACGACCACCAACCATGCCGGAGTTAGCCAGTGCCTTCTGTGAAGGACTGGAGAGGAGCGGCGGCTTGCTGCTGGCACCACTAGGCGGGCAGGAGCGAGGGCTGTTGCGGTACGCGGCGTTTGCGGAGGAGTGGTCGGTGTAGACATCCGCTGCACGCCGAGTCTCAAGACGGTGTTCCGTGGCAAGGAGTCGAGCGTAAAGATCACGTGGCGCAATCGGGGTGTCGTGTCCATGAACCACCTCAACAAGCGAATCATATTCACTGTCAAGGCCATTGAGAACAAGCGAAGTAAATTCTTCGTCGCCTAGTGGCCGTCCAATCGAGGTGAGTGTGTCGGAGAGGGCCTTGATCTTGTTGAAGAAGACGAAAGCAGAGAGGTCACGTTTCTTCATGTCTTGTAGCTGTTGACGGATCGCCATAGAGCGCGCGGTTGACTGAGAGGCAAAACTCCCTTCGAGCACCGACCATGCATCTTGAGAGGTAGC